AAAATAAAATAATAACTTCTAAATTAAAAGAATACTATTCAAAAAAACTATCATCAAATTCATTCATTACTTTATCAATATCAAAATTCTTATTGCCAAGAAATTTATTATTATGAATATTATTTAAAGCAATAGTATCAGTTGATTGAAGTTGTGAATTAAATAATCCATGTTGTAAATTCATAATGTGATCAATATCTAATTGATCTTCTGGTAATAATATATCAGAATATAACTCACCTATTTCATTCAAACTATTATTATTATTTTCATTTAATAAAAACTCATCATAATTATTAGATTGGTTCATATTATGTACTATATATTTAATTTCTTCTTCTGTCAACTCATCTGATAAATATTTTAATTCACTTTTTGAATTTATTATGTACTATAAATAGGTTTTGGCCATTGATTCCAGACGAGTAATATTTAATCTACCTCAACGATTTTTACTAAACTATTTTAAAGTTGAATGAATTCATTCACAACTAGCATTATGAGGTTTCAAATTTAATATTTTAAATGCTAATTTTTCAATATAATTTGGTTGAATTTCAAGAGTAAGCCACCAAGTAAACATATCATCTTGTTTATCTCATATCATATTAAAAGGTGGTTTATATTCTTTATAGTTTTTTATTTGAGTTATCAGAACTTTACCAGATATATCACATCGATTTATTTTTTCCAATGTTTTAATGCAAAAGTACATAACTCCCGAAATACTCCTCTTTTAAATACATCTGCTAAATTTTATAAAATAAATAAATTTTAATATATATATATTCAAAAATTTATTAGTTTATATATTGCATTTATATATAGATATTAATTGTTAGAAATAAAGCTCAGAATCAAATAATGCTGAAAATTTGAATTATTTTAATAAAGAGTTAGATTAAAATTTAGTATTAGAATTTATAATAGTAGAGTTTATATTTTAAATTGAGTCTTCAAATAATCAGCATTATCAATTTCAAGCTTTGTTTTTAATATTAATTAATTGATTTATAAATTCATATAATATATAAATTGTAAACCAAAAATTAAATCTGATTTAATATCAGAGTAAAGTTAGCTTTAAAGTTAAAATTTTATAAGAAATATTTTTTGTTAAAACCCTAAAATAGGTTTTATAATTAAAATTTTAAGATATCAATATATTCATGTATAAAAACTCTATATATAAATAGTAATTGCAAATTAATTAAATAAATATTTAATAAAAACTTACCACGATATTTAGGATAAAAAAAAAAGCTAAAATATAGAGTGTTTTATCAAACATTTTCCAACGCTTATTAAATATTGCAAAACATTTTTTCTTAAATTCAATATTAAGATCATTAGGTAAACTTTTAAGTGCAGATGCCATCGTTACAAGTTGAATATAGCAATCAACTAAATTTGCTGATTTGTGTTCAAGACAAAGTATAGCTTCTTTAATTGGTGCTAAAATTTTTGTTAATTCAGCTATTCTTGAAAAAAAGTTATTATCAAGAAATATTTCTTTAATAGTTGAACTAATTTTATTCGGATAATGTTCTAAAAGCTTTAAATTAAGTTTATATATAAATATATATATTATATAAATATAAATAAATATAATTATAATTTAATTAATCTTACCATTATAAATACTTGTTTTAATCTGATTATAGAGGAAGTACAATCGTAATAAGTTGTCCATCTTGTTTTACAAGCTATTTTTAAACTACCACCAGTTATAAGCATATTTTTAATCATATTATTTAATAAATCTTCTGCAATATGTGATTTTTTAAAATAACATACTATACTATTGCATTTAGAAATTAGATTTGAAGTATAAGGAAAGCAACAAATATCATGACTAATTAAATGCAATTGATGTGCAATGCAATGTAATGTGATAATTGAAGGATATTTATTATGAATTATATTTTTTGCTAATTTCATAGAGGATACACTATCAGAAACTAAGCCTATAAATTTAGTAACTCCAATTTCATTAATAACTTTTTCAATTTCAGATGCTAAAAAATCACCTGTATGTGAATAGCTTGACAAATCTTTTACTGAATATAAATATTCTTTTAATTGTCAGGTGATATTATAATAAATGAATATAACGATTGGCCCATATAATTGGTCCACCCATCAAGTCCTATTTAATTTTTAATCAAAAAATTATTAATAAGTTAACTTATTAGTAAAATAGATAGAAAATTAAATTTTGAAAGTTAATCGATAGCTAGATATGGGTATTTTAGATTTATAAAACTTAATAGATAGTAATATTACCTAGTGTTAAGTTTTGTAAACTTTTTATTTTATTATTTATTTTTATCGTAACTTTTGCTAGTTCTGTATTTAGTAACATTGTTGTAAGTGTATTTTGACTCGGTAGATTATATTTATTATATAATAATTTTAATAATTCGATAAAAAAAGGATTTTTAATAACTAAAATGAAATTCCACAGCAAATAAAGCTTTAAGCAATGTGCTATTAATTTAAGCTTTTATATCTTTATCTATATTAATAGATTCTAATCTTTTACGTTTATTTGTTATTTGAACTGATTCATTATTATCTATAATGTTCTTATCTTTTGTTGCAATTATTCATATCCTTTCTTGTTTAATTTCAGCTAGAATAGATTGAATATCTTCAGTGCATTCAAATGCTATATGAGTTTCCATTTTGCTTAGATTTCCTCAGGAAAATTGCCTACTGCAATATTTGCATATTGCTGAAGCATGTCCTTTTAAATTTTGTTCACCTTCAATAAAATATTTCTAATTTTTTTAAGTTTAGCACCAAATTTATTTATTTACATATCAGTTTGTATATCAGTTTGTATATCAGTTTGTATATCAGTTTGTGAATCCATTGTTGATAATAACGAAGTTGCTGATAACTGTTTTTCTAATTCCATTTTTTTAAAACTAGTCTACTCGTTAAACTGTTTTATCTTATTTATATTTATTTATAAATATACAGTCAATACTGTCTAATTGTATATACTCTCTAACTG